CCTTACCCTGCTTTCACACAGACGGTTTTTTGCCGTGGCCGTGCACGGCAACCGTGCCGTGTATAATAGTAATACATTGGTTTATATGCAAGCTTTCACACAGCACGGTTTGCTGCCGTAGCCGTGCACGGCTGCCGTCGCAGCACGGCATGGGGACTGCAACGGCACGGCGCCGTGGCCGTGCACGGCAACAGTGAAACAAGCAAGTGTATAGAAGTATTCACACGTGCATATATTTGACTAAACATTATATTACACCCTTTTGTAAATATTTCTACTCGAATTCTTTTGTATCTGTCTTTCTATTATTATTATTCTCTGTGAAAATATTTGGAACAGTGTATTCAAATTGTTTTGTATTCAATTCTATCGCTATCAATAACTTTTATTACTTGTACTTTCCAGTAATCCTTATTAATATAATGTTACAAATGCACCCCTGTTTTCAAGTAGTGGATGAATCCAAAATCTTATTTTTTGTGTTTTTCTGCGATTATGCCATATCATTGGTAACAACATGCGTTTTTTTCTTTCGTCCATTTTGGTCACGTATCAAAATAAAACTAAACCTGAAGTGAAACACCGTGTGCAGTGTGAACGCAAAGCAAAATGAAATTACGGCACGGTTGCCGTTAGAAAACCGTCTGTGTGAAAGCAGGGTTACTGTTTTCCCTCCAAAGTGGTGGTAGTGGCACCTGCTTAGGCTTCAAAGAAATATATGATTCATGACTACACGGGCGAGTACTCCAATGGTTGGTTATGGTATTTATAATCCAAGTTGATCATGGGCAAGGGTAATAAACCGCTGTATTTCAAAACGGTCAGATAACAACGAATTCAATGAATATGACACGAACTGACATTATAAAGAGAGTTGCCTTGCATCAAATTGTGCTACATACATGTAGATGTAAAGTGATGTACAGACGTGCACTGATTATTAGACAAATGAAATGTTTTATCCGCTAGTGAATATTTTTCAACTTTATTTTTCGCTGTTACAGAGACTATTTATGATAAACCAGTATAGGTACGACGAAAATATTTATAGGCGACCTGCATGTACAGTTATACGGCAGACAGTAGATGAAAACATCTCTTATAATTCTGAAATATTGCTTTCTGTATTTGCACCATAAAGCTGCATGCTGTACGTGATTTTTCATTCGGTTGCGTCTCAAGATACGTTAAATATCTTAGATGAGACAAAAATTCCGATTCCTCTTTAGGTACAGAGAATGCAGAATATTCTTTTGTGCTTAATATTCTGAGGATATTTCACGAATGAACCTTTTGAGTCTTTAAAGGAACTTCCTAATAGAAGAATGAAACCTAAAATGATAAATAAAGAAATGAATAAATATCGACAAGATTTTTAATCAATAGTTGCTATCAAAAGTAATCCTATTTACACTGAATACTTTGAATATAATGCAAAAGCGATTTCTTTAATGAGCGAATACAAACTTTAACAAAATCTGTTTTACTTCATTTGATCCCTACCTATATAATTCTTACTATTAAAATTCTGTTTTAGTTTGCTGTGACAACTGGCAGGAATGGTGGACGTACGATGGGATATCTGGTAAGTAATTTAATCTATCTGTAGAAAATTGGTACATTTTATGGAATTCAAAAATGTGACCAGCATGAACTTTGGTCAATACAGTACAGCAGCTATTCAAATGAAGTTAGTATACAAAAAATCCTAAACAGCTAGAGGCGATATCATAATAATCAACCGCTACTACTAACTAGGGAGTTCGAACTTTTTTTTTAATGACGTCATTGTCGATCTTGACGGCCTGCAATATCCATTGAGATTATAGTAGGTATTCTAAATCGGGGTTGGAACCTACTGTGAGTACTTAACGGTTAAAGCTAAAAATTAGCCGCGAAAACAAAAAAATTGTAAAATCAGTTAGGAAAAGCGTGAACAAAAATCAAAATGGAGTGAGATTATACACCGTTAATTCTTGAAAACTTAATCTGAAGTTGGCATACAAACTGGTTTTCGGGTTTCCCGGTGCATGGCTAATTTTTGGCTTTTACGGCTATTAATCTGCGACTAATTTGCCGCCAATTATCCGACGGTTTACATTTTTGCCTGATACTTTTTCCATGCTAACTTCAAAGGGGCCAATCCAATTAATATAAGGCACTACCTATTGGAGATTATCTAAGTGTTATATATTAAGGAATTTTATATATACATTATTTAGGAATGCCTTTCAAGTGGTCATANTTCAATATAAATTATTTAGGAATTTGATCTAATATAAAAAGCGAATCTACATAATTTAGAAGAACTTAGACAACAATTTATACAATATTTCAATAATATAATAATAATATTATTAAGCTTAATATATACTAATTGGGGAACGTAGAAAATTGTGGAGAATCAACGTAAGGTGAGTGAAGACGGCAAACCGCTTCACCACTCTTCTGTGTGAACTTGAATTCGACTGTCCTTATTATAATAGATTCCGCTATTTAAAAGATCGCTAATTGGCTTATTAGCTTGCAGTTTTAAATAAATAATTCAGTTGTACTAACTTCGTACCAGTGATTAAAATAAGAATCCGTGGATACTACATATTAGGTAGCACGGGTAATACAATTATTGGAGAATTAAATTAGCCGACTTTTGGTAGGTAATGTAAAAGGAAAGTTTAGTAATAGGAATGTAATAAAAACGAAAAAGGATCGATACCTATTTATTGACAACTATGAACTTTCTACTTTTGTATAATAAGTGAAAGGAGTTTCGATGTTTTCCTACTTTCTAATGTACCTATTATAATGCCCTTGTCTTGGTAAACCAAGGTGTTCGTTCCTCTTTCCTCTTTTTCTCATATGGTTTTACGCATACACTATGTCTGATCAGTATCTACTCCGGAAAAATTAGAGAAAAGAAGGTACTTGAAAGATGAGCCATCTTGCACCACTCAGTGATATACATAAACATGAGGGTAGTGACCGCCTGTGAATTACCATTGCACTGTCCATATGTGACCATATCGACAAATTCTGCATGTGAATACATTGGTTTTTGTTTGATATATCCACAATCAACTTATTTTTGTATTTTGAGGTAATACTTTGTCAATCGAACGCTAACGAATAATTACGTACAATTGACTTGTCTACGTACCAGCTGTTTGCGAAGGTCACCAATAGGTATGTGTGTTTCGTCGAAAGCCGATAAGATAACGCGGTAAATTTTCTCAATATTTGAGGGCTCGGTAACTGGGGTATTTTTTGTACACACTTTTTACATCCCCTACGTTGAGGTGCTTGAGTTCCACCAGATGTTACCCTGATCAGGCATAGTGTATATTTACTAAATACGCCCCATAACTATGGTATTAATATTCAGTATCAATAATATTTTAACCAGAGGAATTTTGAGCTTTTGTATTTCAATAAAAAATAGGAACAAAATTGAATGTGTCGCATCCATGCACTTTAAAAACAGCTCCACACTTTTTCGTAAAAAGAACATCGTCTTCAATAATAGTACCAACTACCATAAATATGTATTGAAAATATCCAATTTGTTCGCATACGTTATTAAGGAATAAATATTGTATTTCTGGTGGGCCTGTCGGAATTCGCGAAAACTTGTTCGTGTTCAAGGTTTCGGATTGAGCTTATAAAAGATTCAAAGTGTAATACCCAAATGCATTGCAGTCTGGGGCAACACAATAAATTATGCAAAAGGAGTGCCGTTCTGGCTACTACTTTATCGTATCCTAAACGGATAATAGACATTAGGAAGTCGCTATAAAAGTAATAAAGTCGCCTTTGGTATACACGCTCGTGCTGGTACCAAATCCACTCCATTAAAAATGAATTAGATATAAAACATCGAGATTCAGTTTGGAAAGCATGTTGGTACACGAATAAACATAATCGTGAGTTTGAAAAATACTACTAAAATATAAACTTCAGCCAAGTGAACGATCCCGCGGTTAGGATATTTAATGTTTAAGGACTGACCTCCATTCCAAACGAAATTTACAGTATTACCTGCGGTACAGGATAAATAAGAAAATATAAAGTGAAACGATTTTCTTTTATGACAATCTTGTACAAAATGATACAAAATAACTTTTTAACTATTTCACACCATATACCAGCATCTCGAGTAAAAATAAAAAGAATTATAACACTACCGAATCGCCTCCAAATATCTGAAATGACCTAAATTACCACCGAAATAGTTCCTACAAATTAGACAAAAATTTTAATTCTAAAATTATACCGAAAATACTACCCTTTGAAACTCTAAAACAGCTCCAAACTATCACCACATTAAAAAAGATCCGAAAAAGCCCACAAACAGCGCCTCGCCAAAAAACATAGTATAATAGCACCAAAACAGCATCATGTACAAAACATATATATCTACCTATATACATTCAAATTTTAGTATCCCTTTAGTGCTGTTTTGGCGCTTTTTTAGTATAAATGCGTCGCTTTTTCGGTGATTTTTGAATAGCTTTTTGGAAAGCAATCGGTGCTGTATCCGTGTTCTTTTCGTACTAAATGTGGTACTGTTTCAGTACTCCATTCGTACACATTCGGCGGTTTAGTCCTGCAAACGGACCTTTTCCTTTACCTACTTGTGCCAGTATATGAAGTTAACACAATCACTAGTTCCCTGTACACGTTAGACCGTTATACGTATCACGTATTACGAGTACACTGGATCTACTATCTGTTGGTACAGGTAGAAGCGCGTATGTGTATTATGTAAACTCAATGTCCCATAAAAACGACAAATTTGCATTCAAGCGCCATCAGTTTATTTTAGAGTGCTTGTTATGTCTGCACCCCTTGTTAATTTATTATCTACTCACGAACTTAAACAGATGAAAACCTAACAACCGAATCCTTCTAAATTAATAAAGGGCCCTTTGGTTGGCTCGGAAAACTCGGCTACCTTCATTAGGGCACATTGTTTATAAGAATATGCCCGTTCCTCGGGTATATTTTGCTATAGCCATTACAAGAATCAGACGAAGATACCTTCAATTTGAATTTTCACATAAAAAGGTGGTGAAAATTGTAAGAAAAAGCAGAATTAGAAGAAGTTTACTAAACACCAAGAATTGTAAAAAAAAGGAAAATATGCTTCAATGCATCGATTTAAATATTTTAAAGACGAACTTCATTAAGCTATTTAAAAGATATTTTAGAGTAAACACCAAAAAATGAAAAGACTTTCGTCTTGTTGTCATAACGNGAATTATAACACTACCGAATCGCCTCCAAATATATGAAATGACCTAAATTACCACCGAAATAGTTCCTACAAATTAGACGAAAATTTAAATTATAAAATTATAGCCAAAACACTACCCTTTGAAACTCTAAAACAGCTCCAAACTAGCACCACATTAAAAAAGATCCGAAAAAGCTCTCAAACAGCGCTTCGCCAAAAAACATACTATAACAGCACCAAAACAGCATCATATACAAAACATATATATCTATATACATTCAAATAGGAGGAATAGTATCCCTTTAGTGCTGTTTTGGCGCTTTTTTAGTATAAATGCGTCGCTTTTTCGGTGATTTTTGAATAGCTTTTTGGAAAGCAATCGGTGCTGTATCCGTGTTCTTTTCGTACTAAATGTGGTACTGTTTCAGTACTCCATTCGTACACATTCGGCGGTTTAGTCCTGCAAACGGACCTTTTCCTTTACCTACTTGTGCCAGTATATGAAGTTAACACAATCACTAGTTCCCTGTACACGTTAGACCGTTATACGTATCACGTATTACGAGTACACTGGATCTACTATCTGTTGGTACAGGTAGAAGCGCGTATGTGTATTATGTAAACTCAATGTCCCATAAAAACGACAAATTTGCATTCAAGCGCCATCAGTTTATTTTAGAGTGCTTGTTATGTCTGCACCCCTTGTTAATTTATTATCTACTCACGAACTTAAACAGATGAAAACCTAACAACCGAATCCTTCTAAATTAATAAAGGGTCCTTTGGTTGGCTCGGAAAACTCGGCTACCTTCATTAGGGCACATTGTTTATAAGAATATGCCCGTTCCTCGGGTATATTTTGCTATAGCCATTACAAGAATCAGACGAAGATACCTTCAATTTGAATTTTCACATAAAAAGGTGGTGAAAATTGTAAGAAAAAGCAGAATTAGAAGAAGTTTACTAAACACCAAGAATTGTAAAAAAAAGGAAAATATGCTTCAATGCATCGATTTAAATATTTTAAAGACGAGGGTTTTGTTAAATTAATCGAACTTCATTAATATCTATTTAAAAGATATCTTAGAATAAACGCCAAAAAAAAAAA